AAGACAAAAATAAAAGACATTTTTTATTAAAAAAGAAAATTTGAGTATCAAGAGACATTTTAATTTCTTTTCAAACAAAATAATTAACAGAGGTTTTCATTGTATTGGTTAATAATTATATAATACTGATATTAAACAAGAGATATTTGTTGGGGAAAGAGAATATCTAATCGTTATATTGTGTGTATAATTATTAACATTAAAAAAGAGATATTTGTTGAAAAAAGAATGATAAATCCATTTATTGAAAATGCAGACTAATTTAAAAGGTGTTTAGAAATACTAAAAAAAATTCCAAGTTCAACATAGCAATACGTCTCCAGTATAGTACTATACATACTGTCAACCTCTTCTAAGTGCACCCCTTGGAAACATATCACCATCACTCGTGAGCGTGCATTTCGAGAGGGTGCACACGAAGGTGTTGACTGTATATTATAGGGCATGTACTATACTATAGTACACACTTTATACACACCATTCAAAATGCATCCTTTAAAATTTTTTAAACAAAAATCTCAGATCAATCAAATATCTACATGCATCTTTATATTTTCTTATATATAAAGAAATAAAACTAAATCGGAAGAATGGTGCATAGTAATGCATAGTAGCAGCAATGCATGGTAATGCAACATAATAAATATGAATTTAAAAACATACAAAATTCGCTACAAGTTAGTATTTTAAATATATAACATCCGTTGTAACAAGGTCCATTATAGCAAGGTTTGACTGTACAAGAAAGAGATAACAAGCGAGAACCAAAGTAAATCTGTAAATTAATTAATAGACAAGCACATAATTACTGTGTATCAACTGATAAGAGCAGCCCAAACTTAAGCCATCATCAGCCATACTTGTTAATTAACAGAAAGGTTTTAATTTGACCAATTACCCAAGTACTGCGTTTTATTGCGTGTCATATCCTGACAAGTAGTTCGTGATTTAAAAATATGTTTTAAGACCAACATGATCTTTAAGCTAAATACCCTTTACTCGTTATTGACTTCCCAATTGAAGGTATAAACCTGAAATTACGCAGTAAGGTATAGACCTAAAGTATATTATTGTGTAAAAGAATTAACCATCATATATATATAAATTTATATGTCCATCTCCACACATTAAGATATATATTTTAAACTCGTGAACGTCTATGTTAAACTTGCAATTTCTTTTTATTTCGAGCTCAAAAGTTATGTATCAAACGACTATACTAACTTTTTCATCTTTCTATTTTAAACAAGAAAAATAATACCATCTAAAGTTTTTTAATAAGAATACTCTGCCCTTAAATAATTAAGCATGTTTATATAGAACAAACTTAATTACAGATTCATCTTTATTATCGTCAAGTGAAAGAGATCTAATGCCGCTATTCAGACTTAAAATTTTTCATTTCAAACCTTCACCTTTTTTTATTTCCATTTTTTTTATTTTTTGTTTTTCATTTTTTCTTATTAGATCTTTGAAAAATCGGCATAAAATTTTCTATATCTTCAACATCATCTTTACTGCCCAAGAAAATAGGACATTCCGGTACGATATCAAGCATTCGTTTCTACCATCTGTAGTTTTGCCACCAGCTTGTTCAGCTAAAAAGACCATTTGGAAACATTCTTACAAGATACGAAGCTTACCATTTTTTGATTTTTTGTCAGTTGGATATGCGAAGATTCCACCGTATAACAGAGTACTATGAACATCAGCAACCATTGAACCAATGTAACGAGCTGAATAAGGATCTTTACCTTCTGGCGGATATTGAAATATTTCTTGCATGGTTCATACCAATATTTTTCATTTCCCTCATTTATTGAATATATTTTTCCACG